GTGTAGCCTTGCAATGACTACTCAAATCAGGAGAGTGAGACAAGAAGAGACAGGGTCCCACAGCCCTTCTGATGAAATGCTGCAGTGATCTAATGACCAACCATTCATTCCCACCTCTTCAGGGTCTGTACCACTTCCCATTGCACCACCCTGAGGACCAAAGCATTAGTCACAGAAGTGGGTTGGGAAGGACACTGAAATCATGGCCACGTCATACACAGAGGAAAGTCTCTCAGTTCATTTATACCTCTATATTAAAATGCCTGAGACTAAGCCAGACATGGTGGCACACCCTTTCATCCTAGCACCCAGCAGAGCAGGTGGATCTTTGTGAGTTCAAGAACAGCGAGTTCCAGGGCAGCCAGAGCTACATAGAGAAATCCTGTCTCAGAAAAACAAAACAAAACAAACAAAAACTGACACTGGGTAATGTATAAAGAATCAATTTACCTCAGTAAATTCCAAGACCCCATCAGGTTTGGTGTGTGTTGAGGACCCAGTGTGTTCTACGTTAGTGTCTCATTGCTGTAGCTTCCCAAAACAAGACTATGGCCTAGTCTTGTACTAAAGGCCATCCCTCTCACTTTCCTCACATACGGGATTATGTTTCAACCTAATTTGTAGGGATACAAACATTGCAACCATAGCAGAGAAATTTATGTGAAACAAGCTGTGCCAAAGGTAGCAGGGGAGCTGGGTATTGTTTTGGGTATGTTCGATTCTGATCCTCCTTTTGGAGGTGCCAGAAACATCTTCAGGAGCAATCATTTTTATCCTCCGTTACTTTGTGAGTTAGAATGTTGTTGGAGTATGGTGGTTTGAATGAGAATGGGCCCTATAGGCTCATATATTTTATACTTGATCTCAGGCTTATGTACATAAAAGTGTGATGGAAGAATTAAAGAGAATTATTGATGACAGTGAAATCACCAAAGAAGATGATGCCCTGTGGCCCCCTCCTGACCGAGTAGGCCGGCAGGTAAGCGTTTTATTTATTGACTGTACTTCTTACAAAGAAGATAAGGAAAAGATTTATAAATCTGACATCAAACTTAAAATTTAGTTGGGCAGCGGTGGCACAAACCTTTAATCCCAGCACTCAGGAGGCAGAGGCAGGTGGATATCTGTGAATCCAAGGTAAGCTTGGTCTACAGAGCGAGTTCTAGGACAGCCAGGGCTACACAGAGACACCCTGTCTTTATTTAAAAAATAAAATTAAATTTAAAACAAACTTGAAACTTGTTTGATGAAAGACATCAAAGTAAAAGCTGAAGAAAGCCTCTGGATGAAGACATTTAGAAAATAAATCTTACAAGGAGTTTCTATCTAGAATATGTAAAGAGCTATAAACCAATAAAAAGATAGTGTAGGAGCCAGAATGTTGCAAAGCTTATAGTTTTTATACTCAGAAAAACAGTGGCCAGTAAACATGAAAAAGGTTTACAGGTGCATTTGTAACCTGCAAAATTTAGGACAACACATTTTTAAAAGTCCCACCAGGTCTTCAAAAGGACAAGAAGAGTTGATGCACTGCTGGCAGGGATAAAGTGTCAGTGAAGACACATGAGCGCCATTTGGATAAAACACTTCTGGTGGGTCTGGGAACCCAGCCCCAGGACTCGCACAAATGTTTAACTGTGAGCTCAGCCCCAAGACATAGAAGATTCTTGCCACATCATTTATAGTAACAAAACTTGGGAACTTATGTCTGCTTTAGTAGAGAAATGGTGTGTTCAAAGCTTTTAAGTGTTGAGCAGCTCAACATGGATAAATCTTAGAAACAATATTGCATGAAAAAAGTCTATGTTATATATACACATGTGGTATAGCCATTTATTTAAAAAGTATGCTCTAAATCTAAAAAAGCAAGTGGAAGGAATGAACACCAGTTCTAGGGGATGCCAGAGAATACAGTACGAGATAGGCATTAACTTGTGTTTCTTTTAAAAGATGGGATGGGAATGGGGAACAGCAAGGTAGATCAGTGGGTAGAGGCTCTTGTTGCACCGCTGGTAGCTTGAATCCAATCACTATGACACACGTAAAGGTATAAGGAGAGAACTCCCACAAGTTGTCCTCTGACCTCCACAAATATGTGAGATTCATGCCTGCCTGCATATATCACACATACGCACAGCACATTTTCAAAGAAAACAGGCTAGAGAGATGGCTTGGTGGATAAAAGCTTTCATTGCAAGCATGAGGACCAGAGTTTGGGTAAGCCCTTGTCTGTATGCTTGATGAGTGTACCAGTGCTGCCTGACTTTGATGATTTTTTTTATTTTTAATTTTTTTAGGAGCTTGAAATCGTCATTGGAGATGAACACATTTCTTTTACAACATCAAAAATTGGTTCCCTTATTGATGTCAACCAATCCAAGTAAGCATATATGACATTTATATCCAGTTTTGTCTGTTGCTGGAGATTAAAAAGAAAGTGTCAACCAATGGCCCAGCATAGAAAACTGTGCAGACACAAGGCAGAAGTGGGCAGTGTGGTCCTTCATTCATAGGTGCTCCAGGTTACAGTCGTTATGGAGGGTTGGTTCCAGGAATTTCAGTACCAGAATCTCTGAATGTTCAGCTCTCTTATATAAAATAGTGTCATGTTTGCATAGAACCTGTGTACTTCCCATATATTTTAAATCATATTTATAAAACCAAATTGTGTAAATATCTGTAGTAATGTGTCATTTTGGAAACAATGACCAGAGAAAACATCTAAACACACATGTGACAGTTGGAGACTTCATAAACCTAACCATATCCTCCACTCATGGCTGAGCCCACAAACACAGAGTTTATGAATTCAGACCAAGTGCATTTTCAAAGGCTGCTGCTTTTACTTGTGGTGGTTCATTCAGTTATTCCTTCTCAGTGACATGGAGGACGGCATAGTAACAGCTAGCAGAGAAATGAAATAAGGCCAAATACGTTCACTGAGTCAACAGCTTTCTTAGTGTTGACTCTTCAGACCAGCCTATCTGAGTCTTGGTGAAATGCGATGTGAATCTGTTTGCTGTAAAGAATTTTTAGAACTTGGCAGGCTCTTTGGTTCCCATGGTTTGAGGATTTGGGGTTATAGCCAACATTCAGTAAATGTTGAACATTTGTCTGTCTTTGGATAGTCTCCCTGCTCTTAGCTAATGATACCATAGTAATCTTCGACTTATTGGTCCTGCTTACTACTTTCCAGTTATTTTTTCCAATTCTGAAAGTATTATCAATGGTCATTGTAGAAAAAACAGTAAGTGCAGAAAAACAGAAAGGGAAGGTTCTTTCATAACCTTAATAGACAACCAGTGATAGCATCTCTTTGGTTTTAGAAAGGATCTTACCATATGGCCCTGGCTGGCCTGGAACTTAGCTACACAGATCAGGTCAGCCCTGAACTTTGAGTGAGCTCCTGTCTCTTCTGTAGCGCTGAAATACAAGCATGTGTGGCTCTCTTGCCCAGCTATTGCTAATATCTCGACGTGTAATTTTTTAGTCTTTCACCCGTAGGATTAGAAAATGCACAAGTACGTGGGAGGTTTAGCACAGAAATCTCATGATTGAATGAGCCATCCTGGTCTATATTACAAGACCCATCTCAAAACAAATTTCAACCCTCTCCATACTGGGGTGGGAGTGGGATTTTGTTGGTAGTTCAGGGAATTGAACATGCCTAGAACTTTGTATGTTAGGCAAGTGCTCCACCGCTGACCTGGATTTCCAGCTCTCTATATAGTTTTTTAAAGCACAAGAGACAGGATATTTTAGAAAATGATTTTTTCCCCTTCATTTTATGTATTTCCACAGTAAAAACAACATGCTTCAATGCTTCATAATCTTTCAATAAGTGACCCTTTTCTTTCTTAATGGTCTTGTGATTCCTCAGGGTATTAGCACTGTAATAAGGGACAGTTTTGTATTAATTGTGGTTATTAATCTTTTGTATTTACCAGTTTTTCTCCGTCTCTTAAATATTGTGGTTTTCTTTTGTATTTTAGGGATCCAGAAGGCTTACGAGTGTTTTATTATCTTGTCCAGGACCTGAAGTGTTTAGTCTTCAGTCTTATTGGATTACACTTCAAGATTAAACCAATCTAGATTGGATATTGTGGACACAGGGGGGGGTGGGAGTGTTTAGTTACCATAATTAGGATTTTTTTTTCTGTATATTGGGGCAGTTTTTATAAACAATAAATGATGGTCTTTAATAAATGTAGACTTTTCATACTTCACTCTGCCTGCTTCAAGTTAGGGACATCATTTGTCTGTGGTGTATCAGGTTGCCAGACGACTGAGATATTGAGAGGGCTATCTGGTGGTGTCAAAAAAAAAAAAAAAAAAAAAAAAGTCACACGAACAAGTGGAGAGATGGCTTAGCGGTTAAGAGCTCTTACTGTGCTTGCAAGGGACCCCAATCCTGTTCCTGGCATTCACTTGGTTGCTCACAGCAACCATTTGTCACCAGGGGATCTAGTGCCCTCTTCTGTCCTCGGCGGAAGGTGCACACATGTGGTGCATATACACACAACCAGGCAAAAAAGAAAATTTGAAAAACTAGGTCCTAAGGTGTCAAGAGGGACGTGTTTTCCAATGTAGACGCCCATGATCGGCTCCTGCGGTGCCGATATGACAAAGAGAAGGACATGGACACTGGGCAGCCCTGTGGGGAAGATCGCAGCATCAGGGTCTAGCACGTAGATGGAGTGACCCAAGCCTTCGAGGCTTCCACGCGATGTGAGAAGCCTCGGGACCACAGGGTAACAAGTCGGAAAGAGAACCGAGGGCCTAGAGGGATCTGGCAGAGGTTCCGAGCCGGACTATCCTGCCTGCTTAGTGATGGCCCAGGTCGAGTCTCCGGCATGAGCGATGCCACGGGTTCAGCGCACCGACCGAGATGAGCAGTGCCCAGCAGGTTCCCGTCCCCAGCCCAGCCCGCCCCGCTTCCCGCCCCCCCCCCCCCCCACTTGAGCCTGCGCGGTGGCGCCAGCCTTTTACGACGAGCCGGAAAGCAGCTGTCGCAGCGACCTAACGTGGACCGGGCAGCTATGGGGGTAAGGGGGGACGATTAGCCGTCGGGCCGCCCGGAAGCCGAGTGGGGCGGAGATGGCGGGACCTGAGAGTCGCGAGCTCACGCCCGGGGGCAGCGAAGGGAGTGGGCTCGCGCTGAGGCCCGGGAGGCCGGCTTGAGCCGAGGGGGGGGGGGCGCGGCCGTGCCTCCAGCCTGCCCCGCCCTCTTCGCAGAAAATCGCGCTGCAGCTCAAAGCCACGCTGGAGAACGTCACCAACCTTCGGCCAGTGGGCGAGGACTTCCGGTGGTACCTGAAGGTGCGGCGGAAGGCGGACCCCTCCTGGGAAAGGAAGGAGCGTGGGAGGCGGTGGCCGTCGCCTAGTTTAGGATGGCTTTGCACGCTTCATGAAGCGAAGGAGGACTGTAAACTCCCGTCTTGTTGCCTTCACCTTCCCTGTGCTAGGATTACAGCGCGGCCACCTCACACGATGGCGTGTTTCTTTCTTTTTCCTCTTTAGTTCTGGGGATATATCCGAATCTAGGGCCGCACGCCAGCGCTTTCCTGCTGGGTAATCTCTCCAGCTCTTGGTTTGTAAACACACGCTGAGCCAAATGTTAAACGAAGAGACCTTGTGATTACTCAGTGGGTGAATACACCCACCTTGTTTTATTTGTTGGCTTTACTTACTGTGAAGGTTGCCCACCCTTCGTCCTCACACAGTACTAGTAAACCCAGTAGGTACTCGGTCCGGATGGTCTGTAAAGTTCCAAACGGTGTAAGGCTCCTCATTGTCCGAGATTCTGCGTTATTCTACTAGCCTATCTCAGCGACTCGTGTACCCAGCCAAAGCCTTGTCTTTCAGGAAGCCCTAACTGATCACTTTTATTTCTACCCCATCCCCCTCCCCTTCCCAGTACTAGACAAGCGCACTACCATTGCACCCATAGCTCCTATTTCCATATGTTTTGGAGCACGGGTTCCAGGCCTCATTTGAAGAATGAACTTTGGCTTGAAGAAACACGGGTAGTGAAGGAGACAGAAAAGAGAAAATGATGAATGTTTGACCCTAAGCACAAAGGTCCTTAGCTAGGCAGAGTTGCTGGGGGCCTCAAGCTCAATGGCCCCGATTTTAGAGGAGGGTAGGGGTGACAGCATCAGAAACAACTTGTTCCTTGCCTGGAGATAAGGGTGCTATGTCCCCATTGGGGCTGGTTGTAGCAAGACGTAAGACTCACCTAGAAGATAGGTATTCAGCATAGTGGCACTCACTTATAATCCCAATACTCTGGAAGCAGCAGCAGGAAGGTCTCTGGGTTAAAAACAGCTTTGGCTACATAATGAGATCCTATCTAAAAGAAATAAAGAGGAGGAGGTATTGGTTTATGAGCCTGCCTTACACCATACTTACTTTTCCCATGGTTGGTGTCTTTTCAACCAAGCTAGTTGCTCAACTAATACTCTTCTTCTCCCCAAAGATGAAATGTGGCAACTGTGGTGAGATTTCAGAGAAGTGGCAGTATATCCGGCTGATGGCAAGTGTCCCTGCCTCATAAACAATATACTCCCGGGTAGAGATTTGGAGAAAGTGGCCTTCCTCTCTCTATCCTGTGAACATTTTCAGGGGTGGGGGGTGAGAGAGCAAGCAGCAATGTGGTCAGCACTGGGCACAGCAGGCATCTTTGGGGTGTGAGGCATCAGAATCAATAAGACTCCGGAGGGTTCTGCCCACCCCCACCCCTGGTGTGCTTGGGGGATCGAATCCTGTGTACATCCTAAACATGCTCCATCAGTGAGATGTCCCCAACCTTCTTGTTCCTTGTCAGCAAGTGACTCACTTCTGTGGGTCTTGCTCTGTTCCACTGGGTAGTAGGTGGTGGGGTGAGATCTCTTTGGGACCCTGACTTCTAGCGGTTATGTGACTAGAGATTCTGTTTGCTTTCCATCAGGACAGTGTGGCAGTGAAAGGAGGCCGAGGCAGTGCCTCCATGGTCCAGAAATGCAAGCTGTGTGCACGGGAAAACTCCATTGGTAGGTCAGGCGGTGCCTGCCAGGCTCTTCCAGGCTGACGGGAAGCAGTCTCATGTGTCCAGGGGTGGACCTAAGCGTGGAATGCTGATACCTGTGCAGCCTGCTCTTTTTTTCCGGGCTCGTAAGGGGAACCTAGGTACAGATTCAAGTCAACTTTTCCTTGTTCTATTTCAGACATCTTGAGCAGCACCATCAAGTCTTACAACGTAAGTTCCCTGCCGAAGTGACAGGGATAGCAGGGTTAAATGTGAAATGGCGGCTGAGAGGGGTGGTTCAGGAGTAGCTGCACCAGTGCCTGCCATCACTCCTTGTCCCATGTGCTAACTCTAGGTAGCCCAGGCTTAGGTCAGACTCATCATACTCCTGGTTCAGCCTTCTGAATGCTGAGAATCGGGCACTTGACATCATGCTCTGGTGCTTATTTACTCTTTAATGTACTTAACTTGGCTGTTCCTTTGCTCCATCTACTCTTGTCCACCATGCACTGAATGCCTGAGAGTACAATGGAGTGAAAGTCGGGGCATGGTGCTTAGTAGTCACTGAGGCCCTGGGTGAAGTAGGCATGGATTCCCCAGCTACCCACATCCCAAGAGATGCCCTCTCCACATACCCCTGCCCTTCTCCTCACCACATAGTGGATGGTTAGCAAAAGGCCATGGTATGCCTACTGAGACCATATGGATGGTGTGAGGCCTTTGTAGCCTAACATTCTTGTCGTCTTGGTGCTGATCATTTACCGTTCATTGAATGTGGTGTGAGGGCCTTGTTTGGCTCTCTGCACATGGCCCAGATTCTTACAGTAGATTTGTAGGGTTCCTCTGCTCTGTTGACATGCAGGAAAACTGACCCAAGGATCCTTACTCTTCGAAGAATCTGTGTCTACAGAAGGTCCTGTTGGGAGCAGTGCCCAAAACAGGCTTCTTTTTAAAAGGGCTGAGTTGTTCTGGGTCCTGTTCTAGGTTCATAGGTGCAGTAAGGGCCCACATGGTAAGAAGAAAAGAGGGCATGGTGTCTCTGAGGGCCCAGTGGGCCTGCCTCCTCAGTACACTTCCTTTCTAGGCTGAAGACAATGAGAAGTTCAAGACAATAGTGGAGTTTGAATGTCGGGGCCTTGAACCAGTAGACTTCCAGCCCCAGGTATGTATTTTAAGAGGACTCTGGGGTGGGAATGAAGTGACAGGACTTTGCTTCTTACAGAGACTATAAAAAGGGATTTGCTTTTCCCTTCGGTGTTCCAGCACTAAGCTACAACCCAAAGCAGGAACTCTATGAATGGTAATTGTCACTTATCAAATGCCTACTGTGTGCTGTGTCCATGCCTGTCACCGTTACACATTATCTCATTCCGTCCTTCCTGTAACCCTGTGGAGAAATTTAATATTTAGACAAGGGAATTTCAGCTTGCCAGAGTCCCATAGTTAGTAAGCAGAGGCCTGTAATCTGAACCCAGGTCTGTCTGACTCTTACAGTCAGTACTCATCCTTTATTTATGCATTTTACCTCAGAGTAAATCTGAGAGTTAAGTTAGAAAAGTTGGTATTGGCATCCCAATTTCATAAACAAAAACAAGCGAAAAAAACAAAAAACTATAAATCCTCAGCCACACAGAGTTTAAAGCCAGCCTGGGATCCATGAGAGCCTGTCTCAAAAACAGACAGACAAAACCTAAGTTCAGAGGCAGACATGGTGCCCACCTTTGATCCCGGCACTCAGGAGGCTGAAGATTTCTGAGTTCAAAGACAACCTGGTCTACCTAGTGAGTTCCAGGACAGCCAGGCCTATGAGAGAGACCCTGTCTCAAAAACAAACAAAGCAACACCAAGCCCCGCCACCCTCCAACAAGCTAAGGTTCAGAAAGGGGAGTGGAGTGCGTCCAAGTTCCTGCATCAGACAGGATGGCGGGAGACCCTGCCTGTCTCTATACTTGGTGTCTGTCTGGGAAGTATCAGGAAAGTAGCCAAGGCTGGATGTGGCTACGCCCCTTTAATCTCAGCACCTGGGCGCGGGGCAGGTGGATCTCTGAGCCCAAAACCAACCTGGCTTACATAGTTTCAGGACAACCAGAGCGTCATTGTAAGACCCTGTCTCAACGAAAGGAAAAAGAGAAAAGAAAAAAGAAAAGTAGCTGGGCAAGCCAGTAAGCACTCTTCCTAGAAACAAGGCAGTCTTGTGAGGCGGGGCTGTGGTTTAGAGACACCACAGCAGTGCTGAGTAACTTGAGCAGCTGAGCTGTCTTAAAGGCTTTGCTAGGAAGACCAGCCCTGGGCCAGGCACCTTTCTTCCCCTAACCTTGCTGCTGCCTCTCTGTCCCCTGCAGGCCGGCTTTGCTGCCGAAGGTGTGGAGTCAGGGACAGTCTTCATTGACATTAATCTGCAAGAAAAGGTGAGACCTGGGGACCCTGCGAGGTGTTATGTGGTACCCGGTGGGAATTATCTTTTTGGTGAACAGCGCTTATCAGTGGAGAGCTAGCTTCACATTTTGGTGCTTTTTGTTGGTGATTCTGCATATGGACATAAGTATAAGGCTGAAGGGTGGTTGCCGGAGTCCAGCTCCAGCAGGTCAGAGTTTCAAGGAGGAAATGTGGAGGCGACAATAAGACATACACAGACATACTATGGTTGAAGCAAACTCATATTTTCTCCTGTTCGCTCTTGTTTATTCTCTTTTCCCTTATATATTACTCAGAACAAACGTCTTTACACAGAAAGAAGTCAGAAGTCACAAATTTAAGGAAATCTCAGAAGCCCACATGTGGTTAAACATTGCCCTTGCTATTTTTCCTCCCATAATTCCACCCTTACCTAAAAGCAATAATTCTTTCATTATTGATAAAGTTCCCGCAGCTCAACAATATTTCCGTCCTCTTTCGTGTACTGGCTGACAATGGTGTGCACTTACAGTGTGGAAGGCTTTTGTTCTCGCTTTACTCTCCAAGACCTTGCAGGCTGGCCTGCATAACTATCTACGCTCCTCCTTTTCCACTTGCAGTAGGGTCATTTATGCTCTCTCAGCACTCTGTTTTCTCGAGGTGCACACCAGACGCCTGCAGTTAGATCTTAAGGTACATGATCAGGAGACTCAGACCTGACCATAGTTACGGGGACATAATTGCTCTCTTTGATCACTGGGCTGTCTCTCACAGGCAGGACTCGTGGGCCAGCAGTGCCTAAGACTTCTCTGTAGCTACAGTAGGTTGCACATCCAGCTGGAAAAAGGGCATTTTCTAGTGATATTACTATCTTTTCTATATCCCTCAGTAGAAGCCCCAGTCTTTAAACCATTCTCAGAAAGTTCAGCTGAACCCTTAATCTGTTTAAATGCCGTTGTCCTGAGGAAATCATACTCGTATTATGTACTGCCGGTAAACTGCCCAGAGAGGAGTGCTCCCACGAAATAATCAGACCATGCTAAGTACAAGGACACGATAGTGCCAAGCGTCATAAGGCCTTGCAGCAGCAAGGTGCGTTCTGGGCACAGTCACCCGGGGCTTTGCCTCTCTGAGGTATTCTCACCGAAGCTCTGCTGACTGGTGAGCTGTACTCCAGAAGCTCCACTGCCGACCGCAGTTCCTCCGGCATGACCAGGAAGTCCCATATTTGTACAGGCAGGAAGGCTAGGTGTGGCTGACGCGGCAGGTGCACAGTAGATCTGCTCCCTTCAGGCCTGACTTACAGTGGTGGCGGCTGTGAGCGACATGGTACATAAGCCACTCTCAAACAAACCCATAAAACCGATGTTTGCTTTACCAGTTGATGAGACTCTTGTGAGCAGACACTTAGGAGAAGGTAGCCCCGTTTCCCCGGGCTGCCACTGAAGTGTTCGCAGTGATCGCCTGTGGACTGACTTAGGACATCTCTGAAGACAGACCGGCTCTGTTTGCCCGGCTCCTTGTAGCAGCAGAAGGTGGCATTCTGTGCCCCACCTCAGGCTGCTTACCGTGCGAGGTGTGTTTCCATGTGTTTCATTTCATCTCCTGTCTTGCACGTGAGGCTCCAGGATGTGGCATGACTTGCTGGTTACCAGACTAAGAGATGGAGTTCAGACCCGAGTTGTCTGTTCTGTTAAGGGTCTCCTGTGTCCGTGACTAGCTGAGTTGGGCCTGCATCGGGCTTTGGAACTTCTGGTCCCCACTGTCCACACTGTCCTGTCTGCCTTGAGAGCTGTCTGCTTTCTTATCTCCTAGGACTGGACGGACTATGATGAAAAGGCGCAGGAGTCTGTGGGGATCTTTGAGGTCACCCATCAGTTCGTGAAGTGCTGAGCTGTCTTCCTGCAAGCTTGTCCCTAACAACTAAGAGGAGACCAAGTGCCCGGGTAGCAGTCCCCACAGAGGCATATCATCTCTACTCTCGCGGCACTTGTACTAAGCCCTCACAGTCTGCTTGCTGGGGTTTGTCACGGTTCTAAGTCCCACCAATAAAGCCCCTATTGGTGCCACAGCGGTGTGTGAAGGTGGTCTCTCGGGCCCAGAGTTCCTGCAGAGCATACACGGATCCCTGGGTACAGTCCGGGACCACAAAGAAATATGGTAGCAAGAAAATACACTCCTGCCCACCAGCTAACAAGGATTTAATCTCAAAGAAATTTATAATGATGGAGAATACTATTAAGCTTCGCTGAACATCATTAAAGACATAATGAAATAAAAATTTAATTGAAATTGCAACTTCTGTTTAGTAGAACTTCCTGAGTCACAGATGGGAGAGTAATGTCCTAGGTGCCACAGTGTACAGAGCAGTGGCAATTAAGCGAGTATGGTACTAGCCCTGTGGTGCTCAAAAAGATCAATAAACAGGTAAACAGACCCATTGGTGGAAAAAAAACAATGGCAGATGGTGCTACAAATGAACATGTTAATTACTCTGAACGTGCAGACAAACATTACATGCAGGGAGGCGAGGTCAGGGCCCTACTCCAGGGCACTGAGGATGTGTTCCACCTGAGGCTTGTAAGCTTCGGTGCTTGGCTCTCCTGGCTCAGCAGCTACCTCACTGCAAACCCTCCTATTGGGCCACCTTTCTTGTTTGTTTTTTCGAGACAGGGTTTCTCTGTGTAGCCTCTCTGTGTAGCCTTGGCTCTCCTAGACTTGCTTTGTAGACCAGGCTGGCCTCAAACTCCTGGCGATCAGCCTGCCTCTGCCTCCCCAAGTGCTGGGATTACAGGCATGTGCCACTGCGCCTGGCTGGGATCTAACTTTCTTCACATAAAACATGAGAGCCTTTCAGCTCTGGAGTCAGTCCAGATGGTGTATCTGGGCCCCGCTCCCCCTGGCCAGGCCTATGCACTATACAAACTGTAAAGAGGCAGTTTCAGGAGTCTGGGGAGAGGACAAGGTGGAAGCAAACTGTGGCGGTCAGAGGACACTACAGGAGTTGGTTCTCCTGCTGTGTGTGTTCCAAGAATCCAGCTCAGGTTATCAGGCTTGGTAAGTGTCGTTACCCACCCAGCTACCATCTTACTAGTCCATTAAAAAAAAAAAAAAAAGTGTGTGGGAGGGACGTGCGCCATGATGCATGTGTGGAGGTCAAAGGACCAGAGGTAACAGTCTGCTCGATTTCCAGCATGTGGACTCCCAGGAATGGAAATCAGGCTGGGGACAAGCGCCTTTACCCACTCAGCCAGCTCACTGCTTCCTCCTACTGGCTTGGGTTTGGGCATTCAAAGTGCTCCGTCTGCCCCTAAATGATCCCTGAGCAGCATTTATTTATTTTTTTTTAAGTACCATCTTTATCCAAAAGCCTATTTTCTTAGGCGGAGCTAGTAAACGTGCTTTTTACCAAGGCTGTAGCAGTGGTGTGCTAGCATTATTGTGCTCAGGCTCCGTGAACGACAGCGTTTTCTGCCACTTCTCAGAGCAGAAGCGGGGCCTTGGCTTGGCTGGCTGTCGGGAACATTACACAACCCTGTCCCAATTCCTCCGTAAACTTGGTGCCAAGCGAGCTCTCTCATTGGCGGGGCCCTGGGGATGGGGTGGGCTTTCAAGCCAGCCCTCCAGGAAGCTGCAGGGCCCTCACCACTGGGCTTCATTGTTTCCTGGCCCCTTTTGTGCATCTGCACCTTCACTTGGCATTGTCTCCCACCGGCTTCTCTAAACTAAATACTTAAAAAGGATGACGCTGGAGCCCACGTGTTCGGGAGCCATTAGCTGCAGTGTCTCCCCAACCCTTCCTCCCACTGGGAAAAGAGTGTGTCTCCCAGGAGGAGGGGGTCCTGAGACTGTGACGGATGGACGCATTTGCCACTGAACGGGATGCCCTTCACAGTAGGGGGCGCTGCGGGCTGCTGCAGGGAGATGACGCACGCTCAGCGTGTGGTCAGGGCCTAGCACACTGAAGCAACTGCCAACAACCCTCATCTGGTCAGAAGGGCAGATAGGCTGCACTGTTCTCTCCTGACCTAATACCCACTTGGAACCAGCCCAGAGCCCAGCTGTCAGTGCCCTACAGCCTCTAGATGGAGCCAGCCTGACTCAGGCCTGCCAGCCCTCCTTGGCATGGAGTACAAATTAAGGCCTGCCACCCGCTGCTTCTGACACGCTGGAAGATTCTGGCTGATTTCTCTTCAAATGTAAAGATAGAACCTTTGCCCAACAGCTGCCTCTTGCTGCTCCCTAAAGTGGGAAACAGGAAAAAAAAGGAGTTATGCTCTTAGACTGGGCTATGAGCAGATTCTGGGCCTACTGCCTCCCAGTTAGAGAAAAGTGGTTCAGAACAGAAAGAAAACCTAACTCAAGAGGAAAGCTGAAGGTATGGATCCCATCTAGAGCCAGTTAGGACTGTTTCACAGTAGTTCACTCAGGAAAGATCTACGGGTGAAATGACCGCCACCCCAACCAGCTGCGAAGGGACTGGGCATCAGAAGGGATGGCAGGCCATAACCAAATCAAGCAACGCCAAGATCAGGAGTTCTACTAGTTACCTTTCTGTTGGTGTGAAAAAACCCCGCGACAAAGACAACTCACAGAAGGGGTTAGGCCTGGCTTACAGTTCCAGCGGAGAAGAGTCTATCAGGGCTGGGAAGCTCCGCAGCACAGGGCAGGAAGTGGATACTGAGAACTCTCATCCTGAACCCTAAGTATGAAGCAGAGAGCAAACTAAAAGTGGGAAAGGTCTTTTTTTTTTTTCCTCAAAGCTGGTCCCCCAAAAAGATCATACCTCCTCAATGACTCAAACGGTGCTTGCCAATTAAGAAACAAATGCCAGAGACTGATGGGACATTTCTCGTTCAAACCAGAGTGGGCACAGGCTGGGCAGCCTGTGCAGACTGCAGAAGACTGTAATGAGGAGCAGTCTAGTGAGGTTCCACACAGCACCCAGTAGGGTCTGGAGGTCACTTGTGAAAGGGACTTTTATTCACCTGATGTAATTGTCTTGGAGGCTTACTGCCTACACGCGCGCACGTGCACACGGCAAACTTCCCCTCTTTCATGTTATAGCAGCATCGTAGCAAACGGGAGTGGGGAAAAAAAAAACCAGTGCTCATTTTCCTCGGTGGAGATGTTTTCTACAATGTAACATACCTAAGTGTTGCTACCTGAAGTCACAATCGGCACAGGGCTTCAGCCAGGGAAACACACGCACGTCGGACCTGGAATTCCGGGGCTGGACAGGGTTCTGAGGTAGAGAGCGCGCACTGCTCTTCCGGAGGACACAAGTTCAGCTCAAAGCACCCACACCAGGCAGTTCACAGCCACAGTTCAGTCCAGTCCCATGGGACCCGCTGCTGCTGGCCTCCGCAAGCACGCGTACTCACATATCCACAGGCAGACACACAGACACCCAATCTAAAAATAAATAGCGAGGTACGCAACTCAGAAGCAGGCAGATCTCTGAGTTCGACACCAGCCTAGTCTACAGAGTGAGTTCCAGGAGAGCCAGGGCTACACAGAAAACCCTGCCCCAAAATAAATAAACAAATAAAAATATGTATGTGTGCATATGTAAATAAACAAATAAACAAATGGTTCTTTAAAGAAAAAACAACCAAACTGGAATTCCTCATCTGGGTAGAAAAGAATCAAAGTGCGTGGTCTTCCAGATCTACTGCAGCTGGCCTGCCAGACGAAATCAGGTTAGTCCACGCCTTAGGAAGGGGCACTTTTACACTGACTGTATTCCAGAAACTGTCAAACTTGCAGACAAACAGGACCCAGGCCACCCCAAGACTGGGATCCTAAGGTCACTTCGATAGCTACCTCATCATGCTGTTGGAAGGTTCTTTGGGGAATTAGAAAACAAGGCAGAGGATCGAAAAAATAAAATAAAATAAAATAAAATAAATAAAATAAAATAAAATAAATAAAATAAAATAAAATAAATAAAATAAAAAGGAACCGTATCTCTAAGCAACAACTGAGTTTTATTTCTGTTTAAACAATAAATACACCTGAGTTAGATTTTTCAAACCATATCTCCTGGACAAAGGGCTTTTCACCTCTCTCCTTACCGCCAGCTGGGATCTCCCAGCCTACGCACACCCGCAGCACGGCTGTTCAAGCACCTCGGAACTAGTTTTGTTAGGCACAGATAGTACAGCTACCGGCTGCCCGGACACCCATGTTCATGATGAGGAAGAACGGAGGCGTTTCACCCAGCGAGAAGCTAGCTTTTGATGGCTTTGCCTTCTAAGGCATCAAACATGTCTTCTAGGCCCTTGTGAACACAGCGGAGAAACTCCCGGGCGTTGCGCCCTGAGTAGGAGGAGACATTGCAGCCTATCCAGTCATCGTGGACGGCATATGCGATGCCAAAGCCATCAGGGACCACGGGGGCAAAGCCGCCAACCCTCACTGCCGGGCTGCTCAGAGTGCTCGTGGACAGGATGTTGTGGTTTATCTGCTGGTATGCGGGGTCCAGGTACAGCTCCGGGAGGGTGATTCCCCTGGCCGTTGCCAGATACCGTAGAGCAAACAAGTGTCGGTCAAAGCCCTGACCTGCCGGAGACAAAACAGGAAGCCAAAGTGTCAGGATCTCACAGTGAAGAGGGTGTAGACAACCCCAGCACAACAAGTGAAGAGGGTGGAAGCAGGGAGGAACTTTCACACAAAAAGTGGGAGAAGGGTCTTTTCTTCCCCTGCATACATGCATGCCTTCAGGTTGTCGTAGGGCAGATCACTCCAGGACACCTAAAAACTACATTCCCAGCTGTCCACAGCAGGGCTAAACATGGATGTAGCATAAAAGCAGGATGCTGAAAGCGCTGAATGGTGCACGCCTATTCTCCCAGCTCTGGGGAAGCCAGGTCAGGAAGAGGCCAAGTTATTCCAAGTTTAGGGACAGAATGGACAGCATGGCAAAACCATGTATCAAAACGAAAAGCCATTCATGGTGGCACACACCTTCAAAATCCCAACACTCAGGAGGCAGAGACAAGAGGATTTCTGTGAGTTCAAGGCCAGTCTGATACAGATACTGAGTTCCAGGCCAGCCAGTACTTCATAAAGAGACCCTGGAGAGTTGGTCCAGGGAAGCACTTGTTGCTCTTGCAGACGACCTGGGCTCAATTCTTAGAAGCTACATGGTGGCTCACAACTGCCTCTCACTCCAGTTCCAGGAGACATGGTGGCCTCTTCTGACCTCCACAGGCGGCACGAACACACATGGTACACATACACACAAGCAGGCAAAACACGCACATAAAATAATAAATCTAAGACTTAACAGTTCGGTCAGAGTCGGGATGGATGGGAAGCGATATGAAGGGGGACAACGAACTTAGCTGAAACAAGACTCAGTGGGTTCATTTCACACACACACACACACACACACACACACACACACACACTTTCCCACATGTGCTCAAGGGGGTTAAAAAAAACTGGGGTAAACTCAAAGTCCACGTGTAAAAACTGACTGGGAGTGGAGTGCTCTGGACATCTAGCCAGGGTTCTAACCTCAGCCCGTGTGGCGAGGCGCCAGCCTTAGCTTCCTCGCTTAGAAACGGACAAAGAGCAACCAGGTGGCACACGGGCCCCTCTTACTGCCAGGGGTCTAGTAAGCAGGACCCAACAGGACTGGGCTATGAGATCCTCAGCTTCTCTCCAGGTCTTGAATTTTCTCACAAAGAGTTGAAGAAAAATGACCCCAGCAGAGACAGAAGCAGGTGGATCTCTTAGTTTGAGGCCAGCCTGGTCTACTTGGAGAGTTCCAGGACAGCCAGGGCTACACAGGGGAAATCCTGTCTCAAAAACCTAATTAATTAATTAGTTATTAATTAATAAACAAACAAATAAACAAATTATGTGATGAGCTTCGGAGATGACTTATTTCCAGAGAGCTGACACACGCGGCTGAGGTGAAATAAGGGGAGCAGGCTTGGAAATCCTAAACTGCCAAAAATATGTTCGGTGACCAACACGGGGCAGGGGAAAAACAAAACAACACCAACAACACAACCATTTGTCACTTTAAATGAGGGGAAAGTTCCCTGTGTCTGCTTAGTGTCTGATCCCTAGTGGCTCTGGTTGTTCAGCGGAGACTGGCACGGGGGAAAAAAATGATCATTTTGGGAGCCGGCAAGGGCGTTAAAGCTAGTGACGGGTAGGGATCAGATGTGGGTAGAGTATTCCTGAGGCTCACAGGGAAAATGGGACCCATGGTGCTCCCCCAGGCCATGCCTCACCCATCGCTGCCTCCTTGGTCAGCTGGCCATGGTATTTGGAGCACTCGGCCATCATGTGCTGAAGCTCGCCCACGCTGTGCTGGGAGGGCTCCCTGACAAATGCCTCGGAGCATCTCTTAGTGAAGATGGAGGCTGGGCGGATCGTCTCTGTGCGGCCGTGCTTGAAGGCTGCCGTGCTGCAGGACTCGTAGGTGGCCACTGTCTGGCCGTACTGTCTCAGGAAGGCCATCTGGAAGGCCAGCTGGGCCACGGCATCGGGGCTCAGCTTCTGCTTCTTCAAGAACTCCTTGCCACCTCTCTCAAACTGAATGGAGTCAATGGTGAGGGTCTTCATGGCGGCATCAAACTTTTCCTTGGCGGTGGTGATGCCAGCCTTTAAGGCGTCGCTCAGTTTAAAGCTGAGTTTCTGCACAGTCGCAGAAGAGTCCGTGGCGGCTGGCCGGCTCTGGGGGGTGACGGCAGGGGTCTGAGTGCTGTCTTTGAACACTTCGTTGAAGAACCGAAGCACTGCTACGCCATCTCCCCACGCATGCTCAAAGTTGACGGCGGCAGTGCCATCCCTGGCTACGATGAGGTTAAAGGACTTGTCAAACCAGCGGTTTGTGCCATCACCGTGCAACATGGCGTGCGACAAGTGGATGAGGTCTTTCACCGGGAAGTCATCTAGGCAGAGGCAGAAGACGGCAGAGTCCACCTTCCTCAGGGTGTCCTCATTGCCGCCTTGCACCAGCTTCTGCCTGAGCTCTGCCCAGATGTCTCGGTTCTCACTGCTCAGATACGCCAGGGGAAACTCGGGCACAGGGCTGTTGTCAGAGAGAATGAACTTCAGGTGCGCCTGAATCTCTGAGGGGTTCACAATGTTCCCATCCTGGTCGAGGACATCGAAGACATAGAAATGCCCTTTTCTTAGGACCAGGAGGTGTCTGGCCTTGGCATCAGTAAAGAGCTCATCGCGACTGGGTTTGGGTAAACGGGTCGAGTTGAAAAGCCGAAAATACTGGGACATATCCAGGGGGTATGCATTGACCAGGTAGGCTCCGTACCAGGACAGGGACGAAGGGACAAAGCGGATGAGCCTCTTGAAGGCATCTGTGTCACTTTTGGCGGGGTTCAAGTGGAACACTTCCGGCTCTAGAAGGCCAGCCCGAAGTGTCTTCAGAAACCGGACTGCAGACACGGTCATGTTGGTCGCCCGAGTGAGCTGGTCATTGTACTCAGGCTTGGGGTCCGGATTGAATGCTATGAAGGGGTTAAAGTTCAAAACAACAGAGTCCCGAGCAGTTAAGTACATATCAAACCAGGGGCCTGAAAAAGAGAAAACACGAAGAGTTAATGCGATCCCTAAAAATGAGATTTCCGAAAGGGAAGAACTCCACCTCGCGTGGAAGAGCTGTCAACACCGGGAAGGGGACCGTATCTGGCTGCTCAGTACCATGACACAGCAGCAGCAGCACACACCGAATGCTCCCAGGCATCTGGACCCTGACACTCCCAACAGCGGCTCTCAGGTTCTCCCCGGGGGGGAGGACACATCAGTTCCTCTCTTTCACTGAGGAGTGATGTTCCACCATAGGCATACGGTGCTTTTTGTTTACTCGTTCAGCAGTTAGTGAATATCTGGGTTCTTTTCATAGCATGCTATTCCTCCGAACCTTCACATGCAAGTTTTTGTGTGGACATATGTTTTCATTTCTCTTAAGGACATCTGTAAGCTAGGTAGGTCTCTGCTAAGCCTTTTTAATTTTTTTAACTTTATTTATTTAGTATTTTTGAGACGGGGTCTCTGTACCCAGCCCTAGCGGTCCTGGAACCCACTCTGTAGACCAGGTTGGCCTTGAACTTACAGAGATTCACCTGCTTCTGCTTCCCAAGTGCTGGTATTAAAGGTGTGCACCTCCACACCTGAATTCTGCTAAGCCTTTTGAGGATGATGCCTATGTGAATGCTCCAATTCTGTCACCCTCAAAAGCAACTGGTGTTATGGGTGTATCTCTTTTGTGTCCCTAGACAGGGTCTCACTGTTGCTACAGCAGTCCCAAATTTGTAATTTTTCTGTCTCATCCTTTTGGGTAGTTAGGATTTTAAAAATCCCAAGCAAATCAACGCTAAGGTCAAGAGAATGAGAAAAAAAGACTGAAAATGTGGAAGTGTCTAGGCAACTGGTAATGGCCAAAGCAGATGCAAGAAGGCCAATCTCAAACTGCCAAGGAGACAAGAAACAATCTGCCTTACCCACAGACCTTCCAGAGGACCTGCTTGAAATGGTATCACTGCAGCCTCGCCCGACACGCTGTAATTCCTTCTTCACTATCAATACAGGCTTTGTTCTCTCAATCAAGATAAGCTGGGAAGCACACCACAACTGAGCCCACAGATCTGCCTCCCCCCCCCCCCCCACACCACACTCCTTTCAGGAGTTACTAGAAACGCCTTCCTAGGGAATCTAATCAGGCATGATCCCTAGAGACAGCCAAGGGAACAAGTGAATGGGAGCATAAAATGTCTACGCCTGACCGGCCTCAGCCTCATCCACAGAGAACATCTCACTCATCCGTAAGACAGGAAGGAAGGATAAGAGAGCATCTAAAGAAAGGCACAACAAAAGGGAAAATGAATTTGGAGGAAAGAGATTATTAAAAAAAAAAAAAAACCTCCTTATAAAAAATTTCAGATTTAAAAACAAATCTGAAAATAAACTTTAAAATAGAATCTTCACAACGGGCTTCGAGAGGGTACCTGCTGCCACGCCCGATGACCTGAGCTGGATTCTCAGGACCCACACATTATAGCAGAGAACTGACTCCTACAAGCTGTCCCATGACAACTGCTTGTGCATGTACACACACTAAGCAGATATTGAAAAATAATAATAATCTAACCACAAAGAAGCTGGTGGAGCATCGGGGAGGAGTGGACAGCAGAGAGGCAGGACTTAGACATTCAACAGAGGAGCTGAAAGAATAAATACATTTCCAAGCCAGTAGAACAAAAGAATAACAGATGAAAAATATGAGAGGGCCGGGTGGTGGTGGTGCACCCCTTGAGTCCCAGCACTTGGGAGGCAGAGCAGGCGGATCTCTGAGTTCAAGGCCAGCACGGTCTACAAAGTGAGTTCCAGGACGTCCAAAACTACACACAGAGAAACCCTGTCAAATACACACACACACACACA